ATTTTTTAGTGCCAACCTTGCTTTCAAAAATACTCCAGACACAATAGCCCAACTGATTGGTATCCGGAGATTTTGGTGAACATTGTGCGCTGGAAATGAAGCGAGGAACCTCATTTTGTAACTATTCTTGGGTGGCGCGTGCTGAGTGCGATGGTGCTGAGTCCTGTTGCTGGAATGTTCAAGGTCTGCGGCCAAAATGCTTGCATGCCCAAGGCTTCAATACACCCTCCAGAATAATTTTTGCGATAATATTCGGCATTTATTCCGATCGACCGTGGCGATTAATATGAGCGGAGAGCGACCATCGGCTGTTATGGCGGCCCACACCATCACCATGGCCGACGCTTGAGTTCTGGTGGCCAACCGAAGGTGCACATTTTCAGTTGACCTCTTTGGCAAGTAAACACGATCATTTTTTTTTTTTGTTTACAAACAGCTGGACAACGAATGTTTTATCATCGGAGAAAACCAAATTTGGCAGTTCATCACTTTCGGCCAAGCTAGGCAACTCTTTAGCTCTTTTGAGTCTATTTTCTTTCAGTTGCGGTATAAGTTCCTTCACTTTTTGGAATTTCAATGACTTTATCCCGAGCTCATTTTTCAATATTTGGAGAAAACCAAATTCGGCAGTTCACCCCTTTCGGCAGTTCTCCAAGCGAAGCAACTCTTAAGCTATTTTGAGTCTATTTTCTTTCTGATGCTGTGTAAGTTCTTGGACTTTTTGGAATGGGAAAACAAAATTCGGCAGTTCTCCAAGCGAAGTAACTCTTTAGCCCTTTTGAGTCTGTTTTCTTTCTGTTGCGGTGTTAGTTCTTGCACTTTTTAGAATTTCAATGGCTTTACCCCGAGCTCATTTTTCAATATTTGCCGACTGGCATATTACGATATGTTCAGCTCACGAGCCATTTTTCGGTCACTGCCACGCAGGGTTTCGATCAAGTCGCTTCTTTACTTTCCGAACCACTTCTGTTGATATTACTGTTCTTCTTCCGTCCACTTCCTTGACGTCGGGCTACGCTACCAGTATCACGGCAACGAGCGATGGTACGAGACACAAAAGATTTATTCACATTTAAATGCTGGAGTGCTCTAACGATGGCCACTTGTGGTTTTCCAGCCAAATATAAAGAAATCACACTATCACGCTTGAATTCCATCACGAATAATTATTTTTCAGGAAAATTCTCACCAAAATGCTTTTGTACGCTTGTAAACAATATAATGAGCTGTCACTGGAATAATTTTAAAAGCTGTCGGACGAGTGGCTTAGAAATGACAGCAGTCTGAAGTTGGTTGGAGTTTTTTCATCTCGCAAAGTACAGGGCGATTTTTTTTATCATATCAAAAAAAAAACAACTAGTAAATTCTTGCAGATTCTGGAACAGAGCATATGTTTAAAATTTTTCTCTGCCTTTGACAACATCTCTCAATGTCAAAATATAAATTCATAAATATATTTTATATCAGATCAGAAATGGGAACCTGTTTCCTATTTTGCTTGCTTTGACAAGGTCATTTACAGGAACATGTAGAGCTAGATATAAATATTTGAAATGAGGTTAGCTTAAATTAATTATGCCATGTAAACACCACAATACTACAATGTTCCAATTATAGTCCTTCAAGAAGCAGTCGAAAAACGCTGTTATATTGGCCATATGGCCTTTCAAGAAGGTATCCTATTGAATTCAAGCTTCTGCCCTTAATGATGATGATACTATTCCCCCCATATTTACTACTCTTTTCTACTGTCCTGTAAAATAATCCTAATTAGTTTTTAATTAATTAATAATTGTGCCCTAATATCCTAACCCTACTCGGCAGCGGGCAAAACAATATTTGCCTAGCAAAGTGATTGTTAATCAGACCTTTTTCCATTCCGTCGACCTCCTTCTCCTCCTCCACCTCCTCAAACATGAACAACAAAATAAGGACATTTTTAGATTTAATGACTAAATGGCTAGGCAAACACATGCACGCACACATACACACACTCACACATCAAACAATAAGGGCACAAACACACACACACACATAGACGAAAAGACAATTTCCTGCACGAAATGACCTTTCAATCACTCTTAATTACATTGACATACAAAGATATGTAAAATATATACATACATGGATATATATATACGGGCAACATACATTTACATGGATTAATATTGACATAGATATGAATGTGCGAGGAGACCCATATACACATCTATATCTGTAAATTGAAATGTAAAAAAGTATTCGTAGCCAAAAAAAAAGGAAAAAAAAAAACATGACAGTCGAAAAACGTCAATATATGTCCAAAGTGACAAGGGTTCTTTCTAGGCACAAGGCAATAAAATGATATAAGAAAAAATGCCATATATGTAGGGAACAAACATGTTTCTTGAAGAGAAGAGGGGGCGAAAGGGGAGTATGTCAAATCAAATTCCAAAATTTATTTGCTTTCATTTTTGTTTGCAAAGGCATTAATCACCAAAAATGTATGACGCCATCCTTTTTTTTGGCAGTAATGAGGGTACTTTCGACAAGTAATTTTTAGGAGCCTAACTATGGAGAAATTTGAACCTATGCAGACTGTGTTGTAAAACTTCTGAGGGGAAGGAATCCAAATTTAATGTGCAGAAGGGCCCCATCGATCCTGAAGGTAGCTTACAACTGGGTCAGACCAAGAGGAGATAATGTAGAGCCGAAAAAACAGAACAATATATTTTTATCAGGAACACTAAAATCGGGAACCGAGACGAACCAGTTTTCTGAATAGTATCTCCGGTAAATTCCAATATCTGAAAGTTATTCTGAATAAAAAACTTAACTTGAAAAACTACATTAACGAAAGAGCAAACTAGGCTCACAGCTACTGGTCAATCTGTAATTGGACAGAAGGTTTAAAATGGGGACTAAATGCAAAAAATACTCATTGATTGTAAAGAAGTGTAAGCAGACCTATCCTAACCCACTTCAGTACCAGAAAAGAAATCTGTTGCACTATGTGAATAATATAGTCGAGACCTCCACGTTTCTAGCCCTACTAGTCCTTCAAAATTTGAATATCCAGGACTAGTCCTTCAAATGGTAATCTTACCGGGAACCTTTTTTAAATGAAACGGTTAGTCCTGCTAAATCTCTAAGATTAATCGTTAAAAATTCTCAGTTATGGCAAAACAACTTTTCGAACAACCATGCAATCGTTGGGCGCCATTTTTCTTCGTTTTTCTTTCTGTTAAATTCTGTCATCAAACTCTCAAAACTTTGTTCAAAAGTCCAAGCTAATGGCTTTGATGGTCCTCCAAAAAAATGTAAAGCCCTCGCTTATGGCTTTTTAAGTCCTTAGAAAAATCCTTTTTAAAGATCCTCGCTTATGGCTTTAATGGTCCTGGCATTGATGTTCCTTCCAAAAAATATTTTCAAAAAAAATGTTTTTAACGATTCCCGCTCATGGCTTTAATGGTTCTGGGTTTGATGCTTCTTCCGAAAAAACTTTACCAATATCCATACAAGTGTTGGACGACATTTTTCTTGGTATTTCATTCTGTTAAATTCTGTCATTAAATTCTCGAAATTCTATTTAAAAATCCAAGCTTATTTCTCCGAAAAATAGGTTAAAGCTCCTCGTTTATGGAATTTTGAGTCTTTGGAAAAATCGTTTTAGAGATCCTGGCTTTTGGCGTTAATGGTCCAGGATATGATGGCTTTGATACTCCTTCCAAAAAATCTTTTCGGAAAATCTTTTTAAAGATCCTCTCTCATAGCTTTAATGGTCCTGGCTTTGATACTCCTTCCAAAAAATCTTTGCGAAAAACCATGTAATCGTTTGGGCGCCATTCTTCTTGGTATTTCTTTCTGTTAAAATTTGTCATCAAACTCTCAAAATTCTATTTGAACATCCAAGTTTAAGGCTTTGATGGTCCTTCAAAAAAGATTTAAAGCTCCTCCCTTATAGCTTTTTGAGTCCTTAGAAAAGCCCTTTTAAATATCCTCCCTTATGTCTTCAATGGTCCAGGCGTTGATGGTTTTGATGCTCCTTCCAAATTTTTTTTAGAAAAAATCTTTTTAAAGGTTCTTGTTTATGGCTTTAATGGTCCTGACTTCGATGCTCCTTTCAAAAATTTTTTTTCGACAATTCATGTAATCGTTGGGCGCCATTTTTTGTTGATATTTCATTCTGTTAAAGTTTGTCATCAAACTCTCAAAAATCTATTTAAAAATCCAAATTTAAGGCTTTAATGGTCCGCCAAAAAAATGTTATGGTATTATGAGTCCTTAAAGAAATCTTTTTAAAGATTCTCGCTTATGATTTTAATTGACCTTCAAAAAATCTATTTAAAAACCCACGGTTGTGTCTCACCGTTGGGCGCCATTTTTCTTGGTATTTCATTTCGGTTAAATCCCGTTCTCAAACTCTTTCCCATTGTAATTATAATTCGATTTACCTCAATATTGGTATTGGCAATAAAACCAATTTAAATTGGTACGCCACGATTTTCCGCAATACCCTAACCACATGAAGCCGCATTCAAATGCTTAAAATCGCATTAAAAAATAATCTACGATGTTCTAAGCAAAACGGAACAGAAAACAGAGAAGGCTAATGGCAGAGGATACAGCGAAAAGGAAATAAGCAACATTTTCCCCATTCAAATTCCAAGCACCTTTCCAACTACCATCCTCCGCCATAGCGGACGGAAGGTTGTTCAAAAGACATAAAGTAAAATGTTAATTAAATTGCTAAATAAACTTAATAAGAGGAGGAGGAGGAGAAGAGTGGAAATGTGTTTAAATAACGTGTGTACACCACCCCTTCCAGTTTAAATCTACTATCATGTTAATGTTATGATATTTAATTAATTCAGCAACATTCAGCATTTTATTTAGTTTTTTTTTTTAAGATATTAGCATCAGCAAAAAAAAATAAATTATGATAATTTGTATTTAAATAGTAAAATATGTGAATGTTGTATTAATTATCTCATTTTCTTTCTCTTTCTTTTTTTTTGCAGCGAAAATTCTGATATTCTATGTTATATTCTATGTGGCATTAACTGGATTCTTTGCTGCCATGTTAGCTGTATTTTATCAAACTTTGGAAGTAGACAAACCCAAATGGACACTGGATAATGGTTTAATCGGATCAAATCCTGGTAAGTGTGGAAAGGTAGTTGTAGTAATATTGTGTATGTTCTATACATTGGGCGCCATTTTCCTTGGTCCTTTGTAATTAATAAATATTAATTAAATTCAGACACACCTTCGATTCCCTACCAAGAAATCCCATAATCATTGGCATACAGACTAGATTTGCCATTGTTGAACTTTGAAAGTGATTCCTACAATTTGCATATTGGGCGCCACAAAGAAGCAGTGTTAAGTCATTTAAGAAAGCTGTGGCAAATTTATATTTTAACAAGTAAAAAACATTAAAAACATTCGGCCGGGCCAAACTTTTAACACTCTCCACCTTAGGGTAAAAGAAACATTAGAAGAAATGTGACAAAAACCATTAAAATACCGAATATCGGGAGGTACCGTTATATGGGGGCTATACCAAATCATGGACCCATACATGCAATGTTTCGCCACCGGAGCTGGAAACCATTATGACACACAAATACCAATTTTTACACAAATCCGTGAATAAATGTGGCAAAAAAACTAAAATACCGAATATCGGGAGGTACCTTTATATGGGGGCTATACCACAACGTGGACCTATACATACAATGTTTTGCCACACGCTCAGGGACCCGTTATGACCTACCAATACCAATTTTCAGACAAATCCGTGAAAAAATGTGGCATAAATCATCAAAATACCGAATATCCGGAGGTACCGTTATATGGGGACTATACCAGAACGTGGACCGATATATCTCATTTTCAATAGCAACCATGCTAGACACAATGCAAATAGCTCTGCTAAATTTTGGCGCTCTACGTCAGATAATGTGAGTTGTATCGTGATTTTAACAGACAGACAGACGGACAGACAGAAAGACGGACGGACGGACATCATTAAATCGACTTAGAATTTTATGCTGATTATGAATATATATACTTTATTGGGTCTAAGACGAATATTGAAGGATGTTACAAACGGAATGACAAAGTTAATATACCCTCCTTTCCAAGGTGGAGGGTATAAAAAGATATGGTGTCCTTTCAAAAACAAAAATTAAGATTTCCTGATAGTTCTACAAGTTTGGAAAAATTTTGTTCGGCTCGACAGAAATTTCAATATTTTTTTACAGAAATTCCAAGAATCTAGTACTTCTGCATTTTTTTTTTTTTTTAACTGGAACAGACCAGAAGTCAGAATTTGCTCCGACAAAACTCCGGCTACAATATATTTTGCAGCTTTTTTAACATTCTTCCAATATTTTGCACGTTGGGCGCCAAATATAAGAAATCCATGGTAATTGTAGCAAGATGATTAGAATTGATATTCTGCTCCACAGAAATGTCAATAATTTCCAACATGACAGAAACAATGCCCCCCAACAGTCTTCATCAAAGAATATGTGCCGGCAATAATTCCTTCTTTGGACATTTTTATATTCTTTCAATAATTTACATGTTGGGCGCCAAAAAGTAGCAGTGTTAAGTAGTTTTAGCAAGCTGTGACAACTTGATATATTAAGGAGATATGGTCTTCTGATTGTGCTACATGGTTGGAAAAGATGTGGTTCTGCTCGACAGAAATTTTAAAAATGCTTCTTACCATTGTTTCCGTTTGTTAATCTGAGAAGAGAAACCCTACCGCTCCGTTCGGGTGTCATTACAAATCTAATTTTAATCATAAATATTTTTACTTAAGAACTACTTAAACTTATCCTTACCTAACCTAATCACAACCATACAATACTTCTTATCTATTTACACATGGAATAGAATAGAATCTATTGACACAACATTGCATTGATGCTCGTCCCTTCATTCAGGAGGGTATGTGACTGTGCATAACGATAGATGTCTGTGTGTAATGGTCGTCTATCCTATGCGCCAGCGCAAAAGACACATGCGGGCTTTGTGGCGGCTGGGAAAATTTTAGAATATTGATTTTTATTTTTCGAATTTTGCAGAGCCTTAACCGCACAAAAATTATGTGCAAAGTATTCCGCATGAAAATTACCGTAGTCAACAATGAATTTGCTTCGACAGTAATAACTTTTTCAGACTTTTAAATATTCTCTTAAAACTATACACGTTGGGCGCCAGAAAGAAAAAAAGAATTCAACAGATATGTAAACATGTCACCGGAACTACTCACATACATATGGTGTCACTTTTGAAACCTAAATTGAAAGTTTGGACGTTTTAAAAATTCGTTATAAACTTTAGTTTTGCTCGCAGAGACTTGTTCACTGATACCACTGGAACTGGAACTAGGTCTTGGAAAATGCTGGCAATAATTTCTTTTTTAAACTTCGTAATTTTCTTTCAAAATATTGCTCATTGGGAGCCACAACGGTCTTCTATACCCTCAGCCATATGGCTAAATTTTGATCATTTGATACGGCCAAAACGTGCCTCATCGAAATAACGGCTTTATACCGTAGGTCTCACTCAAATCCGTTTCAGGACATTTGAAGTTGATCTAGCGATGTCCGGAATTTTGACCCATTCCCGGTGAAGTGTTTGCTTTAGGTGATCGAAACTTTGGTATTTTTTAGTGCCAACCTTGCTTTCCAAAATACTCCAGACACAATAGTCCAACGGATTGGTATCCGGAGATTTTGGTGGCCTTTGTGCGCTGGAAATGAAGCGAAGAACCTCATTTTGTAACCATTTTGGGTGGCGCGTGCTGAGTTCAATGGTGCTGAGTCCTGTTGCTGGAATGTCCTAGGTCTGCGGCCAAAATGTTTGCGTGCCCTCCTGAATATTTCGCGCGATAATAATCGGCATTTATTCTGATGCCATCGTCGATTAATACGAGCGGAGAGCGACCATCGGCTGTTATGTCGGCGCCACACCATTACCATGGCCGGCGCATGAGTTCTGCTGCACATTTTCAGCTGACCATTTTGTTTGTTTACAAACTGCTGAACGACGAATGTTTTCTAATCGGAGAAAATCATATTCGGCAGTCCACCACTTTCGGCCAAGCGAAGCAACTCTTTTTCTCTTTTGAGTCTATTTTCTTTCTGTTGCGATGTAAGTTCTTGCACTTTTTGGAATTTCGAAGACTTTACCCCGAGCTCAGTTTTCAATATTTGCCAACTGGCGAATATTGCGATATGTTCAGCTCACGAGCCATTTTTTTGGCCACTGCGACGCGGATTTCGATCAAGTCCCTTTTGTACTTTTCAAACCATTTCTGCTGATGTTGCTGTTTTCTTCCGTCCACTTCCTTGACGTCGAGCTACGCTACCCGTGTCACGGTAACGAGCGATGGTACGAACCACAAAACATTAATTCACATTTAAATGCTGGAGTGCTCTAACGTTAGCCACTTGTGGTTTTCCAGCCAAATATAAAGAAACCACACTATCCCGCTGGAATTCCATCACGAATAACTTCTTTTTTCTGGAAAATTCTCACCAAAATTTCCCCGTACTCTTGTAAACAATATAATGAGCTCTCACTGAAATAATTTTAACAGCTCTTCCGACGCGTGGCTTAGAAATGACAGCAGTCTGAAGTTGCACCTCACCCTGTATAAGAATAATTGTGTTGCTGCGATTAGGTTAAGTTAAGGTGGGAATGCATAAAACGCTTATCTGGATGGCTTAAGTCATCGGCTTGCTTCTTTGGAAATTAACAAAGTAACCTAGGGCCAAAATCGAACTAAGTCAACCTAAAGCTCCTTTGTTTATCTACGAAGAAGCCAGCCGATGACTTAACTTATTTCCACCCTTAGATTAGTTTTTGTAGCACCTAAGAAAAATATTTTTTGCAATAAAATCAGAATTAATTCTACAGGCAAACAATTCGGTTGTGTTTTCTCTTTTCACTTAAATTTGGTCCTTCGAGCCGGATAGAGAATTGAATCTACACTCAAACGAAATGTTTGCATTCTTTTCTCACTTTCTACATTGCTCCAGTCGATCCGGTTATAGAATTAAACTGACGAACGAATCAACAAGTTGTATGGATTCTCCCGCTAACACAACTTGTAGTCACCAATTGATCCGACTTCAGGTGGTACTTATCGCGTATTAGCTTGGTTTTCACTTTCTACATTGCTCCAGCCGAGCCGGTTATAGAATTAAACTGACGAACGAATCAACAAGTTGTATGGATTCTCCCGCTAACACAACTTGTAGCCGCCAGTTGATCCAACTTCAGGTGGTACTTAACGCGTATTAGCTTGGTTTTCACCATTTACTCTTCGACCCTTTTTAGCTGACCCCTTCTTTACTCTTTCAACAATATCTGTTACATCATTTAGTGTTCGATTTACGATGTCAATGTCGTCGGCCTTTGAATGTTTATAAATAAGTCCGATATTGAAGAGTTAAGCCTTTTTCCGGATTGTAGCTAGTCATTCATCCAACAAGGTGAACCTAGAGACGATCCACAGTCAGACTCATATTTTATTTCTTGGCAGCTATTATACGTTACTTACCCTTAGGTGTTGTTGTGACGTCTTTCCCAGTCCATCGTCACACTTCAATAAAAAATTCCAGATCCTCCATTTTAAAGTTGGCGATCGTTAAAAAAGAACAGTTTTTCGGAATCTGCAATATTTGGTGCTGCATTATTAACATATTAATAGTTCTTAACAGGCATACCATTAACTCAAATCATTGTCCTTCATTATTTGTTCCTAACCAATTTTTCTTTCTTTTGTGTGTCTTTCCAGGTCTTGGTTTTCGACCAATGCCCCCAGAGGCCAATGTTGAAAGTACTTTAGTGTGGTATGAATCCTCCAGGCCTGACAACTACAAATACTGGGTTGAGGAAACTGCCAGATTTTTAAAAGGTAAGCATTATTGCCGGTCTCCAAAGTGAACCTGGATCCAAACTGGCTGCTTGCCGAAAATTTTGGCGAATTTGTTTTGATTTTGTGGGAAAAATAATTTTGAAAATTTTGTTTTTATTTGAATTTAATTTCTTTTTGTACCGATGAAAGCGGTTTCATTTCGTAAGTATAAGGAAATGGATATATTTTTGAAACCATGTAAAGGAGAGCATTCCCCATCCAATAGAGTAAACTAATGCTCGAGATTTTGATGAGAAAATGAATTCCTTTTCCCGGAAGCTTATAACAATGCTAGTTTTAGAAAAGTTGGGATATTTAAAATTTTTGATTTTAATTTAGAAATTATTTCTTTAAGGAGTTACTAATTTCTTTCGATCTTTTTTCGAAAATCTAGCCTATGATGATTTACCCAAAGGCAACCAAGTAAACTGCTCATTTGAAAATCCACCACCACCCGGCAAGGTCTGTGGCATTGATCGTGCTCAATTTGCACCCTGCACTGAGGAGAACAACTTTGGCTACAATCTTGCCAGACCCTGCGTATTCCTCAAGTTGAACAAGGTAAACTAGCGCTATCCTGCAAACTTAAGGAACACATGTTATAATATATTTATATTCTCTCCCTAGATCTACAATTGGGTTCCTGAAATTTACAACGACACAAAGACAGTACCCGAACACATGCCAACTGAGTTGAAACGACACATCACAGAAAAGAACAGTTTGAGACCACATGAGGTAAGTTTTGCAACTCAGCAGAAAATTCTTCAAGACTAAGGGTGGGAATACATAAAGCGCTTATTTGGCTGGCTTAAGTCATCGTCTGGCTTCTTCGGAAAGGAACAAAGGAGCCTAGGGAAAAATCGAACTAAGTTAACCTAAAGTTCCTTTATTCCTCTACGAAGAAGCCTGCCGATGACTTAAGCCAGCCAAATAAGCGCTTTATGTATTCCCACCTTAACTTTTCATTCTAATCCTCCACTATTTCTTTTATTCTTTATTTTTTGCAGACCAACGTTGTCTGGGTATCCTGCGAAGGTGAAAATCCTGCTGATGTTGAAAATATTAAAGCCCGTGACTATTATCCACGCATGGGTTTCCCATGGTTCTATTTCCCATTCAAAAATATTGAAGGTTATGTACCACCCATTGTTGCTGTGCAATTTACTGTCGAAAGTAAGTAGAGATACAAATTTATTTTCGGTTTTTAATAATTATACCAAGGATTGAAAGCATTATCAAATATGCAGTATAAGAGTTTTTGAAAGGGTTTTAAAACGTGTTTTTATTAAAATTCATATATTGCACGACAGTGCGTATAAGTGCTGTCACTACGTATACGCCACAAAGACCAACGACATAACAATTGATTATTTTATAGTTTAAAATAATTCAAAACGTGCAAATGCCTCGAGAAATATTTAGATGTTCTATAAATTCTTGAAAACCAGAAGGCGAGGATGAAAATTCATTTGAGGTCATGAGCTGTGGTCCATAACACCAGGCAGGAAGTAAGGGTATTTTTTATACCCGAACACAGCAATGCCAAGTAGACGATAGTGAAGGCTTATCAGCCGAAAAAAAACTCATCTCTTTCTTGCTCAAAACCATGGGGCGTATAGTTGATACCATGATTAAGAATTAAACCTCATACAAATCCTTCAAATTCAAACAAGCATAAGTTAATGGGAGATCAGTGGAAAAGGCTCTACACGAGGTTGTACACCACCATTGAGAGTGCTTTCGAGAAGAAAATGTACACTATTGGAACGTAGAATCACCTATCCAATCTTTAGATGCGATTCTTTCATAAAATGGATAAGCCATAAGCTAAGGAATATATGGATAAGCTGCAGGCTAAATGACGTAATAATTGAGGACAAAGTTTCCAGGAAACTTCACAAGGATTAATCTTGTCATGAGCCTTACCAAGGAGGTCTCTGAACCACCTACGATGCTATAAAGCTTCTGAGGAGAAATAAATCAAATTTACTGTCCAGATGGGTCGAATCGCTCCTAAAAATATTTTAAGACTGGCCCAGGCCAAGAAGACTAAATGTAAATCCGAAAAAAAAAAACTAAACAACATCTTGTCACGAATCTTGTAAGGAGCCTAACCAAGGAGGGCTCTGAACCACCTACGATGTTATAAAGCTTCTGAATGAAAATAAATCAAATTTACTGTGCAGATGGGTCGAATCGCTCCTGAAGATATTTTTTTCCATTGAGCCAGACCTAGAAGACTAAATGTAAACCCGAAAAAATACTAAACTACATCATTTCAACAAGAAAAATCAATTCGGGCACCTAAACGAACCATTCCTCCTTCATAAGACAATTAAGACAAATTCGGACCCCTGGACAAACCAGTCTTACAGAATAAGACAATTAATATCTTCTGTAAAATCAAATACCTGGGAGTAATACAGGATAAAAACGCAACTGAAAACCCGCTTTAAGGGACGAGCATACAAAGCTCACAGGTGCTCTGTAGAAGGACAATAGGTTCAAGATGGGACTAAATCCAAAAATGGTTGTACAGAAGCTCGGTTAGACCTATTCTAATATAGGCGTCAGTAGTCTGGTGGACAGCTATGGATACAAAATGCAATATCACAATTTGCATAAGAGAACTATACCAACGAGGGCTTCAGAGGTTGTTCTTTATGCACACCCAATATAAATACAGATTAGATATGAAGCAGTCATCGCAGCCACAAGGCTAAAAGCAATGGAAGATTGGACCAAAAAATTCACACAACATACAATCAAACAGTTATACAGGTTACTCTAGGAGAGTTAATAGAGGAGACCACTTCTAAGAGAGTACCAGGAAAGAAATTAGTCGTACGGTGCAAAACACTAATCTCAGACAGGGTCTTGTGAAACAACGGAAACCTTGCGGGTATCTCATCCGGAAGTCGCTAATTCACGGATTACTCAAAGTTTGGACATAGCCGTTTAATAGAAAACCTGAAGCTCTGAACTAGATTAGTACTAACACGAGACCAACTCTGTCCGCCTGTTGTAATCACTCTGCAGTCAAAACGAATAGGAAGCTAAAATTTTCCACAGATCTTCTGTCTGCAGGCAGGTCAGGTGATGATTTCAGCCAACTTTTTAAATGGAATTGTCTTAAAATCCACAAAAGGAGTTCTATATGAGTACTTACCCGCTGGAAAAGAATTGTCTATATAAGTTCACGATATCATATATGCCCTATATAGCGGTTCCTCCCGTTATTCGGTACTTTGATGATTTTAGCCACATTTTTTAACGGAATTGTTTAAAAATCCACACAAGGAGTTCCTTGTGAGCACTTCATTTCCGTAGAGGAGAATTGTATATATAGATACGATATCGTATAACCCTCATCGTATCTTATAACCTCCATATAATGGTAACCCCCTATATTCGGTGCTTTAGCCCCTAGAAGAGAGTTGCCTGCGCCCACATAACGGTACTCCCAGATATTCGGAATTTTCATACTTGCGACATTATTCACCGGAATTGTTTTAAATTTCGTATTTAAAGTTCGAAACCGGTACTTCACCCTATGACAAAACTTACTTATGCAGGACCCCCATATAACCTTTTTACATTTGAGCGGAATTTTTGACGGATTTTTTTTTTTTTTTTTTGGAAATTTTTAAAGTTTCTTCCGAATGGTGGAGTGTATAAAAAGCTCGGCCCTGCCGAACTTATTTATTTATCTCTTTCTTATTTATCTCTTTTGTGAATTCGTCACAAAACTCCAATGTTCTTTCGAATTGGTTCCAACAAAAACTTTCAGAATCTTATGTAACCTCACATTTTTTCGAATTCCAAAATTGACCCAGCAGCTGTGTATTATTCTACCAAGCTCCGAACATAAATTAATTCAATTTTTTTCGGCATAAGGTGAGAGAACATAAAAAGCTTTTTTGACTGGCTGGCTTCTTCGTAGAGGAACAAAGGAGTTTTAGATTGACTTAGTTCGATTTTAGCCCTACGCTTCTTTTCCTAAGAAGCCAGACTTTATATATATATTCTCAACTTTAGAAACCGTACAAATATTATAAATTCTGTGCATTTTAAATATCAATTCCACTGGAGTCGATTATATTTTACGTATATGTACATTGTAGAAGAATACAGGTGGATGTATCAACGCTTAGGAATATTGATGTCAAAAAATGTAAAATGTTATTTTTATAAAAAAAAACGAGATTTTTATATGTTTTCTCATACGACACCAATCGGAGGTTGTTATAATATGCGTTTTTCAATATTATTTTTTTAAAAAAATGAGATTTTTATATGTTTTCTTATACGACACCAATCGGAGGTTGTTATAATATGCGATTTTCAACAATTTTTACAAATTTGAATAATTTTTCATTCAAAATGTTCGATTTCAAAATTGGTCAGTTATGGTTGTTATAATATGCGATTTTCAACAATTTTTACAAATTTGAATAATTTTTCATTCAAAATGTTCGATTTCAAAATTGGTCAGTTATTTCATTGTCCCAGCAGCTGTGTCGATGAGACTTTTATAAAAAAAAATACACTCAATTTTAAATGTCAAATGGATTTTGTAAATCTAAACGCACTTTTACACCCTTATTTACACCAAATATGTTGTCATAAAACACGTTATTTAGATTGTCAATTTTCTTGATTATATGTCAAATAAATGGTGATTCTTCATATAACACGTAATTTAGGTGACGCTATAATGCAGACATATATGTGTTTCATGCCAGGGTTCTTTTTTTAATTTTGACTCATACCCATTCAGCAATAATGTGGTACTCCGTTAATATTTCCCTCAAAGGGCGGTCACTTAATGGCCGATAGTATTTATTAGAGCATTTTATTATAATTTTCCGCTATCATTAGAAAGGCATAGAAAAACTGCAACTTTTTGTGTAAGCATTTCAAAATGAGCAAATTTGTTAAAACTCTTAATGGTTTCCACCCACTTTCCGGCCAATTAATGGTCCAATAAATCCAGCTAAAAATAGAAACAAAAACGTTAACAAAACATGTATAAAATGTTAATTATATGTCATTAATATAAACTGTTTACAAAGTGGAGGACAATGGGAGAATGGAATGACAATGCAAAGAAAAATCGTTTTACCATATTGTTTCGTTGATTTGGGGTTTATGGGTTTGTGAAAAATGTTATCCGCCAATAGAAAATTACTCTAATAATTAGAAATCCGGGGGTAAATTCAACGGAATAAAATATAGAAATAATAACTATTTGTTTACAAGCAAAACATTCGCTTCTACCCTACTTAAGTTGATGAGGAAACCCCGAAAACATTAAAAGCAACAATGGCAATTTCCTGAGCCAAAGTAAACTCATATATGAAAACCCACAAGTCAGAGTCATACTCTCTCTCTCCCTCTCTCTTGCTCTTTAAGAAGAGGTATTATCCCTCGCCGTTTATAAAGTGCTTGTTAAATAACAACAAAAAAAGAAAGTTTAACTCAACGGAAAACAATTGTTATACTATGTGCACACACATGTATATACATTATATAACAAAAAAAGAGAAACATCAAGAAAGAAAAAAACTGTATCAGAATTTTCTATGGGGTGGTTGTGGTCGACTGAAGTTTGACAGTTAGCCAGGCTTTATTCTTTTTTTAGGTTTCTCGTTTTTTCTTTTTGTTTTTGTTGCCATTAACGTCGTTGATGTGGCGTCTTGTGGCGATGTGTGTGTGTGTGTGTGCTAGGAATCAGGTTAATATGTCATCATGCACACAAAACGCAACACCATCAGGTGAAAGAGTACATAGGCATACACAAAAAAACAAGAACTTAATTGTTTTACGTTTTGCACAAAAGTGTGCAATTTAAATAATTAAATGAAAATTGATTTAAATGTTTTATATTTTCTCAATGGAGAAAATCATGTTATTTTTTGGGGAAAATGCAATCAAATAACATAAATACTAAAAATTAAAAAAAATGTTTTTTAACACATTTTCCCCCAAATGGATATGGATATATATACATTTAAAGCTATGGCTATGACAAATTAAAAAATAAAATATGAAGTGGTACTGGGATTCCAATCAGCCTTCGAACAAAAATACAACAATTAAATTGTATTTACTCATACACACATCAGATACTCATCACAGTGAGAGATAACTTATTCATCATCATATTTATA